AGTCACTAGCGGTATTGCGCTGCCCAAATGCACAACGGGCAAGAATTGAGGACACTCTCGTTCGCCTGCGGTCTCGCTGAGACAGCGCAGTAAATTCCGTACTTTTCATTGGATTCTGGCGAGGTTCCTTGGATTTTGTACCTCGCTCCCATTGCGAGAACCATCACCCGAGTCTCCGTTATAACCGAAGTGTTGACTAAAACTTGTAATCTTGATTTTTTCGGGTCAACCAATGTGACAGCGTTCAATGAGATGGTGGAACCACGTGGGTTCCGTCTGGTGCCGAACACGTGAGAAAGGCGACATGAGCTACGGACCGTAGGTCATGTCGCTCCTTCTATGATGCCCAATACTGTCATCAATGATGATAGGAGTGGCTGAAGCTGTCAGCTCAACGTGAGCGTAACTCAACGATCAGTATCTGTCGTGGGATCTTGCGCAGTCATTGTACTTGCGTGCTCTGTTCAATCCGTAGCTAATCGGGGAGGCTGGCCGTAGTTGGTGGCTGTTCCAGCTGTTGGCGCTCCGCTTTGTCACTCCAACCTCACTACTTCATCCAACCACTTATACTAAAGTCCCTCTGGGTTGTGTTACCTCATCTGAGCACTAGAATCACCGCTTAGTTTATATCTGTCCCGAACCTTACAACATATCCGTCAGAACTCCCAGAAATAATAGGGATGCGCGACACATCATGCGTCTCCTAGGGAAACGGACGACGGGGCTGTATGGAAGCACTGAGGCTCGCTGTCGGGCATTGAGTGAAGGGGTCAACAATCTCAGACATGGTGGTCCAGGCCACCCACGCACCCTAGACCTCGTGATTGACACATACCTACCCACACGCGGTATTTACGGCGTGAATTTCACGCAACGTTGCAAGGGCTGTGCCTGCGCGCAAAGAGGCGAACGGAATCTGGAGATTTCATAGCGAGACACTTCGAGTGTCGTTGAATTAATCGAGCCACCGATTCCAATCACCTGGATCATTTGCTGTAGCGCTACCCATCTCTTATGCACGCTCCGTTCCAACTCCTGGTCTGTTTGTTCACCGCTCGGCTGGCTTGGTCCTACCAACCTCCCTCTGTGACCTGGACGAATCTACTCTCCGAGAAGGACGCCACTACTTACGTCAACTCGATGCCGATCGGCAACGGTGGTTTAGCCGCCAATGTCTTTGTAGACAACAAAGACGAACGGGAGCCGGTCGTGGGAATACTCATATCCGACCAGCGTGCTTGGAATGAAGCCGGAGAGATCATGAAAGTCGGCGAGGTCACATATCACTTCTCGCCTAGCCCTTGGACTTCGGGATCCAAAACCACCTTGAAACAGGTGGGTACTTTTCCGTAAAGAGCAATTTGGCGCTGTCCTTTGCAAGTTCCCATCACTGCCCGTAGGTGCTCAACTCCAGCCTTGGGACTGTATCGATTGATATTGGAAACCCTCCCACACGCATCGTTGCCTACGTCGATGCTCACGACGATGTATTGGCAGTTAATATCACCTCACCGACAAAGGTTACCATAACAGCCACTGCGAAACTTCTCCGACCATCACCGTCTCGACTGAAGCCACAATCCGACTGCCTCATGTATGATATCAGCGCGGATTTCTATGTACCGCGCCCTAATGGTATCACCGGTGGATGGGGGCACGCCAACAATGGCTCCAACTTTGTAGCGAGTACTCTCAAGCAGT